ATCACATTCTCATGCCAGCCAGCAGGAACAGCAAAGGGCCAGACAGCTACCCCTCTCCTTTTGACCTTCCGTGGTGGCTGGTTGGCTAGTTCTCCATCCTAAATCAACCCAGGCACAGGTTTTCTATGCCTGTGTGTCTAGGCTTTCCAGCATTGCTGACGAAGTTCTCAGCCATGCGAACTGGCTGCACAAGCTAGTTTCTGAGCTCCAGCCTCAGCTGGGCCCTTGGTGCTGCGCCTCAGCTTCTCTTTTCCTTCACTCACATCTCTCTCATGTTAACCCCAGGGCTGCTCCAGACTGTCTGCTCCCCCTGCTCCTTACTGCCCCCAAATATTCCCACTCTGCAGACAGCCGAATCTATTCTTTTACAGAGAGCATACAGACTAAGCCTTAACAACACAGTGAGACCCCATCTCTACAAAAGATTTTTTTTTCTAATCAGTGTTGGTGCAGCTGTAGTCCCAGCTACTCAGGAGGCTGAGGTGGGGAGATCCCATGAGCCCAGGATTTTGAGGCTGCATGAGTTAGGATTGCACCACTGCACCCCAGACTGGACAACAGGCTTTTTTTTTTTTGAGACAGAGTCTCACTCTCTCACCAGGCTGGAATGCGGTGGCGCGATCTCAGCTCACTGCAGCCTCTACCTCCCAGGTTCAAGTGATTCTCCTGCCTCAGCCTCCCGAGTAACTAGGACTACAGGCACACGCCACCATGCCCAGCTAATTTTTGTATTTTTAGTAAAGATGGGGTTTCACCATATTGGCCAGGATAGTCTGGATCTCTTGACCTCATGATCTGCCCTCCTCGGCCTCCCAAAGTGCTGGGATTACAGGCATGAGCCATCGCATCCAGCCAACAACAGGGTTTTCAAAAGAACCTGCTCTAAGAAAAAAGGCAGTGGGGAAGAACATAAAGATCACTGGGCAGAAAGTTTTTTTACTTTTTCCAGAATATCTTAAGAACCAATTCATGCTCGGCACAGTGGTTCATGCCTGTAATCCCAGCACTTTGGGAGGCCGAGGCAGGCAGATCACCAGAGGTCAGGTGTTTGTGACCAGCCTGGACAACATGGCAAAACCTAATCTCTACTAAAAATACAAAAATATGCCAGATGTGGAGGCACACACCTGTAATCCCAGCTACTCAGGAGGCTGAGGCAGGAGAATTGCCTGAACCCAGGAGGCGGAGGTTATAGTGAACCATGATCATGCCATTGCACTCCAGCCTAGGCAACAGAACAAGATTTCATCCAAAAAAAAAAAGAACCAAAAAGAACCAATTCACTTCTCTTCTTCCCACTGCCTTCTCTCACTCAAATGATGTCATCAGCCTCCTAACTCCTCTTCTGCCTCTGGCTCTCTGGATTTTACAAAATCCTCTCCAAGCTCCAAATTGCCTTTCTAAAACACAGATGTTGTGGCTGGGCGTGGTGGCTCACACCTGTAATCCCAGCACTTTGAGAGGCGGAGGCAGGCAGATCAGTTTAGCACAGGAGTTCAAGACCAGCCTGGCCAACATAGTTAAACCTCACCTCTACGAAAAATAAAAAAAACTTACAATTCATGTGAGAATTTATAAATATGTCCAATTTCCAAACATCGTTTCTGAGAACATCTACTCAAATATTTGTTCTAGGCAAGGCGTGGTGCCTTACACCTGTAATTCCAGCACTTTGGGAGGCCAGAGCAGGAGGATCACTTGAGACAGGGACTTTGAGACCAGCCTGTGAAAACACAGTGACACCCTCATGTCTAAAAAAAAAAAGAAAAATTTAGTTAGCCAGGCATGGTGGCATGTGCCTGTAGTCCTAGCTGCTTGAAAAGAAACTGAAGCAGGAGGATTGCTTCAGCCCAGGAGTTCAAGGCTGCAGTGAGCCATGATCATGCCACAGCACTCCAGCCTGGGCAATAG